TGCCCATATGGGACCCCAGCACACTCAAGGCGAGGACCTTAACCGCTATGCTATTGGGCCAAGCCTACATATTATTATTATTTTTTAAAGATTTCTTTATTTTTATTAAAAGGCAAATATACAGAGAGGACAAGAGACAGAGAGGAAGATCTTCTGTCAATGTTTCACTCCCCGAGTGACCGCAACGGCTGTAGCTGAGGCAATCTGAAGCCAGGAGCCAGGAGCTCTTCCAGGTCTCCCACGCGGGTGCAGGGTCCCAAGGTTTTGGCCCATTCTCAACTGCTTTCCCAGGCCACAAGCAGGGAGCTGGGTGGGAAGTGGAGCTGCTGGGATTAGTACCGGTGACATATGGGATCCTAGGCAAGGACTTTAACCACTAAGCTATCTCGCTGGGCCCCCACATATTATTTTTTGAAACAGATGTTAAAACTGTGTTTTTTCTCCACTTTAAAGACTTGGGTAACTCTAAAATACACAAAGCTCAAATTTCTGAGCACAGCTGAAGGGGTCATTTCTCATCTGACCTCAAACTAGGCTCCAAGCTCCTGAAGCAGTGTCCCTCCCATCTCCCAGTCTAAAAGACGCAGTGTCCGGAAGCCCAAGAAAGGCACGCCAAGGATTTTTGTGCTCTGTGAATAGCTCCAAATGTCCCATTTTCCCAGAAGAAATCTGCGCAAGCTAAATTAAAACACCAAGTGCTCGGTTTTGGCTAGAAGGCTCAGTAATTTTCAGGCTGCTCGAGAGCTCTGATTGGTTGCTGATGATGTCAGGTGTAAGTGATCAGAGAACAGAAATTAGGTACATCTGGTATATAATCAACCTCTGTCCTAAGTAGGGAGCTGAAATTAGGGACCCCACAAAAAACAAACAGCACTGGGATTTCACAGCAAAAATGATCACTGTGGTATACAGGCCACCAAGTTCCACTTGGCCCGGGGGAAAATCACCACCAACATGCCATCCTCTCGCACTAACCCCAGAGAAGGAAAAGGCTTCAAATCATTACATACAAGCAATTGGGATGAGCACGGCCAAGGAAAACCACTGCCCCTCCCTCACAGTGACAGGCTTGCTTGACGTGGTCATCAGCCTTGTAACTATCAAGAAATGTACAGAACTGCATAATCCTTCCATGAATATGGTCATCCCTTGGAACCCCAGAGGGATTAGCTCCAGGATCTCCCTGCGAATACCACAATAAATGGACGCTCAAGCCCCTTATATAAAATGGCATAGTACTTGTTTATAACCTATATACATTCTCCTATATACTTCAAATCATCTTTAGATTACTTTCTGAAAACAATTTAAAATATTTTATTTAAAAGGCAGAGAAAGAGAGAGAGAAACAGAGAAAGAGAGACATATCTCTTATCTGCTGGTTCAATCCCCAAACGGCTACAATGGCTGGGGGTGGGTCAGGTCAAAGCCAGGAGCTGGGAGATTCATCCAGTCTCCTCTGCCAACGTAGGGCCCAAGCGCTGGGGACTTCTGTTGCCTTCCCAGGAGCATTAGTAGGGATGGGAAGCACACTAGCTGGGATGCCAGCACTGCAGACAGCACTTGGTCCATTATACCACAGCCCTGGCCCCTAGATCTCTTGTAACATCTATGCCACGCAAACGTTATAGAAATAGCTGTAATGTTACACTGCTTATGGAATAGTGACAAGAAGTCTGTACACATTCAGGACATAATGCCATTTAAATACATATTCATATACTCATATATGTTTTATTATATAATGTATGATAATATAATATGTAAACATATGCTATATGCTTATTACATATTTTATATATAAAGTATATTTTAAATATTTCCCGTCTATGCTTGGTCGAATCCAATCTAGATACAGAGAGTTGGCACTGCTCAATCTTTATGAATGACTGAGAGTCCCTGTGATTCTTGGTGGACAAAACGCTTGTTACAATCTCACCAAGCTGTTTCTTTGCATATTTATGACTGCTTGTTTCTACTCATCAGGTTTTCCCTCTTCTGGAAACCTCGCGCCGCTGTCAATCCAGGTAACTGTGTTCTAGTTCAAAGAACACATTCTTCTCCAATCCCAACAAGCAAGCACTGCTCCCTCCCAGCGCTGCAATACCATCCACACGTGCTTTCATTACATAACTGATATACTCATCCAACAGCAGGCCACCAGGCTCCTGTTCAAGTCAGGAACTGTGCCATTCCATGGTCTGCTCAGCACTTCAGTCCGTACCAGTACCAGCTGTTCCGAGAATGCACCAACAAATGCCAATAAACAGGAATGCAACAGGGCTCCCCTCTCAGACTCCCCCCAAGTGCTGATGCTCTGCCTTGCCCTGCCGCCTCACCCAGACCAGTGAGAAGATGCTGAAGGCTGCCATGACTATGTCTCCTGAGAGAAGCTAGGGGCAGAGGGCTCCCTCACCTTCCTCTCCAGCGCATCAGACCACCTCCAGGCCCGTGACACTCCCAAGTCCTTTTCTATGCTGTTCTCTGGGGATCTTGCAAAACGCTATCCCATGCTACTGCTTTCCCATTTTCTACCAGTCATGGTTTTTCTAAGTGCAGTCTCACTAGCTACACCCACATTTGCTTATTTCTGTACCATTTCTCATATTTCATTCATTTTATCCAAGTTATCTACAGCTGAAAGTGGTTATTTTCACTTAAAAATCCTTGGGACTTTAAAAGTGTGATTTTCCTCGCATGCAAGTGATTTTTCATTCATAACCGTCCAACTCACTTACCTACAGCATTCTTTAGAATTAATTTGTGTGGAATAGCAAAGGAGACTGCATTGTCAAAATGCCAAAAATCCACTTTCCATTTCCAACCTATCTAAATCAGTCTCCAGATAAGAGGTTTCTAAAAGCTTTCTTTAATATTTCCATGCACTTAAAAAAGTGAGAACAGAGAGAGGGAGAGAGAGAAAAAAGTGAGACTGTCCATCTGCTGGTTCACTCCCCAAATGTCCCAAACAGCCAGACCTGGGCCAGGTGGAAGCAAGGAGCCCGGAGCTCCATCCAGGAGGCCCACACTGGGGACAAGGGCCTGAGCACTTGAGCCATTGGCGGCCGTCTCCCAGAACGCATCAGCAGAGCTGTAGGGGTGGCAGAGCAGCTAAGCAGTGATGGCTTAACCCGCTGGGCCACACTGCCTGCCCTGGAACACAAGGTGTCAATACCCATGACCTGATGTGCCAGACACTGTGCTAGATGCTATGGATATACACTCAGAAACAAAGCAGCGCCACTTAGCAGCGAGCGGAAGGGCTGTGGGCTGTGATGTATTGTGATAAGTGCTACAGCCACAAAAAGCAAGGGTGACTGGACTATTCCACCCCATGGGATCCAGTGTTGACGGTGAGAGTCCCGGGACTCAACTTTCAAAGTCCAGCAGTCCCCTGACTCCACAGCAGTCCGAGGCACCAGACTGGGTTCTCCCACTCCTGAGGCTGTGCCGGAAGCCACTGCGGCTTCAAGGCTTGCTAACGTGCGCAACCGCACATTACCCGGGAATACGAGTTCGGCAGGACCTGTCACTCCCTGTTCTGGTATTATTCCTCAGTCTCTCCCTGCACAGGCAGAATCTTCTGTGGTTACAATGGTAACGACCAAGTGTCACCTTTCTGTCTTGCTGAGTATACTGAAGTCACATGGATACTCTTACTCTTAACCTCCCTCTGTACAACACCCTCTCTCAAAATGCCTTCACCCTTGTTTTCAAAGTTTTACTAATAAGGCCGCCATTGCCATGCCAAACCTAGCACACTGTCCTTACCCTAAAATTCTCCCCCCAACCAACCCCTCTGGCCTGAGCGCCTTCCCTGGAGCTCATACGCCTCAGCTAACTGCCGATAACACCATCAGTCCTGGTCATGCGGGTGAGCATGCAGTGAATGAAACATGCTCATTTTATGACTCCAAGCTATCCACACTGTTCTAGAAGGTGTAAAGGAAGAATCTCCTGATGGGGTATTTTCAGCTCGAGAGAAGCCACTCCGCAGGAAACGGTCCATGGCCAAGTCATGTATGACCACCCAAAGCACAGGGGAAAAGCAGACTACACTGTAACATTTCGGGAAGGTGTGTTTTTTGGTTCTTTTTTTAGGGCCTGGAAATAAAGACGAAGAAACCACCTAGCGTGGATTGGACACTTAAAGCAGGATATACACATGGTGACTTTTTTTCTTTATATGGTTTTAACTTTTTACCGTCATGGAACGAAAAAGTGTCAGGTTAAATCTCCTTACGTTTCTCCATCGCTATGGGACACAACACTTTGGCCAAATGATGAAACTTCTTGACAAGATACTTCCTGCTAGATTCTGTCTCATGCCTAGGTTGAGCGCCTACGTACGGTGCTATTCAAGGGGTTTCCCGGCCTTGTCATCTGTCCCCCGTGGTTACTCTGCGAGGTGACACCAGGGCCTTAATTCTGCCCAAGAACAAACCGCTCCTCCACGTGACAGGTCCACGGTCAATCAGAGGGGTCTCTGCCAAGAGCTAACCAACCCGGCTTCCAAGGTTGTTCGCTGTTCTTAGTGCTGGTCCACTTCTCGGAACCCAAGCTACACGTCATCAATACCGTCCCCAAGAATCCCAACTTCTGCGCTTTCAAATTTGCGCAATCAGGGTCATTCAACTTTGGACACCTTTCCGAACGCTGTCCTACCCCAGATCCTGGTAAGAATGAGCCCGCTGTCTGAGCATGCACTGCAAATTATCAGAAGGTCGCCAAAAGCATCAGACAACGGCTGTCACCAAAAAGCAGCCAGGGGGCTGGCTGGCTTCCCTCCATCCCCAAACCCACCCTGCCCGCCGGGGCTCCCTCCCCTCGTGCTCTTAGGGCTCAGGACCACGCGGGGAACGCGGCTTTCTCGAAGGCTGAGCAGGTGTCGGGGCCACGGAGGACGTGTCCGCGCGGGCCAGGGACCGGTGGCCGCAGGAGCGGCGCCCCGCGCGCCCCGCGCAGGTGGCCCACAGCCCGTCCGCGCGCGCGGGCCTCACCTTGAGAGTCTCGTAGGCGGTCGCCACCAGCAGGAAGGCCGTCTCCGCGCTCAGGCCCTCGTCGCCGGGCTCGGGCCGGTAGCGGTCGGGGTGGTAGCGCCGGGCCAGCTGCCGGTAGGCCCGCGCGATCTCCGCCTTGCCTGCCGAGCGGCTCACGCCCAGCACCTCGTAGCAGTCCCGCGTGCCGCAGTAGAGCCCTTCCACCAGGGCCGCCGTGGGCCGCGCCAGCATGGTCCCCAGCAGCAGGGCCGGCAGCAGCATCTCCCAGCCCCGGCCGCCAGCCCCGGGCCACCCGCGCCGGCCCAGCGGCACCGCCATCCCGGCCGCCCTCCCACCCCGCGCCGCCCGGCTCGGCCGCCGGGGCCCTGCTCCACGTCTGCAGGCAGGGCCTCCGCGCAGGCGCACGCGGCCTCTTCCTGCACGACTCGTTGCTAGGGGAGAAGGACGCCTCGGCCCTCGGCCGCTTCCGGTATCCTCCGGAACGCCTCCTGGGTCCCAGCAGCCCGAGGGTTGGTACTGGGCTGTACCTGGAGGATGTTTCTGTGTCCTGGGCCCCCTTAGCCAGCGTGTGCAGAGCGCTTGGCCGAGCACAGGTGCCCGTTAGACAATATTTGGGTAAGACACGTGACTTCACCTGGTGCCTCTCTTGCGTCTGTTATCAAGGTTTAGCACGTAGATCTCTGATGGAGGACAACTTCCGCTCAATAACCCCCTACTGCTTCCCAAACCCATGACTCTGGAAGAGTCCTAAGCGTGGTCCCCCAGGAACCCTGAGCGTTCATAACCGCATAGCTCAGGCTTTCTCACCCTTCGCCATTTAGACCAGACCGTTCTTTGCCTAGGAAAGACTGCCCCATGCAATGGAAGATGGACAATCCACTTGGCTTGCAGTTAGAACCACACCCCAAGTATTGACAAGCACAAACGTTCCTACAGATTATAAAATATCTACTGGTGATAGGGTTGCCAGGGCCGGGGGGAGGGGGTGGTGGTGGTGGTGGATATATACTCAGCTAAATTTGAATTTCAGACAAACAATACGTAACAGTTTGGGTATAAATATGTTCTGGGTAGCAACACTTAGAACTTTATCACAAAGATTATACCTGCCATTCAAATACTGTTTATTGAGTGTCTACGCCGAGCCAGGCACTGGACATGCTGTAGGGAGCAGGACGGGCAAGGCGCTGCATCTCAGACAGTGTGTTCTGGGGAGGGAGGCAGACATTACACCTGCAAATGTGCTTTCAGAAACAAGTCATTAAATAGCGTCAGTATCATCACTATAAATGTGTAAAAAATGAAAGACACAGAATTAGTGGAAGCATGTAGGAAGGCCATCTGATCTGTATTATTGGGGTTAGAGTCAACTCTTGGCATTGGTTCTTGAACACATACCTGTCCTGGAAGGACAACTGGACGATGACCTAAAGAATGGGGATGGGAGAAGAATTTAAGGGTAAGAGCGTTGTAAGTGCCAAGGCAAGGCTGGGAAGTAAAAGCTCCTCGGGGAGTGAGAGCGGGCATGTCTACGGCCAAGAGCAGGAGCAAAGAGTTGTGTGCCTGAGTGAGTCACCATATTCTGCAGTAACGTTGCTCCCCAACTATCATCTCAGTCCAGCTTAGTGGCTAAAGTCCCCACCTTGCACTCACCGGGATCTCATGTGGGCACTGGTTCTAATCCTGGCGGCTCCGCTTCCCATCCAGCTCCTGCTTGTGTCTTGGGAGGGCAGTAGGGGATGGCTCAAAGCCCTGCCCCCGCATGGGCTCCTGGCTTCAGACTGGCACAGCGCCTGCCATTGTGGCCATCTGGGGAGTGAATCATCGGGCGGAAAATCTTCCTCTCTGTCTCTCTTCTCTTATAAGAATAAAATAAATCTTAAAAAAAAAAAAAGAACAATCATCTCAGAACAATTGCTTTCGGGAAACAAATTGGAAAATGTCAGAAAAACAATATCCTATACAGGATGTAACAGCATCAAGCAGATCACATAACCTAGTTCCAAGTAGTGGCGCTGAGAACAGAGAAGGAAAAACGGAGGTAGACATTTTTGAGGCAAAGTGGGCAATTAGTCTTCGTTGCTAAAGAAGTGAGGAAAAGGGGAGAATCGTGGTAATGTCCAGGCTTCTGTTTGGGGCAGCCAGGTACTAGCCCTGAAGTAGGAACCACAGAAAGTAGTCTTTTGATTTAGGGTGATGCTTTCATATGTGAAATGGCAGCCATCCCACACTGGACCGTATTGCTTCCAAATTTGAAACACTTGATGATTCTCGTTAAGCCTGCCTCCCATGAGGCTTTTCAGAGATGCAGGTTGCCCAATCCACGTCCTCCATGGTTAGCTCCTCTTACAGAAGCACCTTACCGTCTGTACGGGGCTCTCCTTCCCACCTGGAAAAATTCCCATCCGCCTTGAGAAACAGGAAATCTTCTGTATTTCAGATTTGGTCACCAACACCCAACTTCTCCTTCAGAATTCAAAAACCTTAGCACGGTGCTGCAGTGTGAATGTTAGTGTCTCTCCAACATGCATATGTTATAGTCCCGTTCCCAACAGGACAGCGTATCATGTGGCACAGGGAGTTCATCTGGCACCTTCAACCATGGCAACTCGCCTGAGCTCCAGCTTTAGCCCTAGCTGCTCTACTTCCAGTGCAGCTCCCAGCTAATATTCCTGGGAAGGCAACAGAAGATAGCCTGTGAGCCTGGGCTCTTGCCACCCTTATAACCTGGATGGAATTCCAAATTCTTGAGTTCGGCCTGCCCCAGTCCTAGCTGTTGTGGCCATCTGGGCAATGAGCTAACAGATGTGAGCACTCTTCCCTCAAGAAAGGATTGATGTTTTTATAGAAGAGATGCAGGAACTCGCTACCTCCCCGCTTTTCACCCTTCTATCCCATGTGTTAAGTAAAGACATCATGTTCTTCTCTAAGGGACCCAGTAACGAGGTGCTTGCTTGGAGGCAAGGAGCAAACCCAACTGGGCTCTTCAGTTTCTTGAGCTTAAACTTCCCATCGTCCGGAACTATGGGAAAAAAGTTTCTGTTATCTATAAATCACCCATCTATGGTATTTTGCAATAGCATGAACAGGCTAAGACAGATGAGATTCTGGTTCTGGGAAAATCCAGACACTTGTTTTGGCTCAGTTCCTCTGCCTGGAACCAGCCTCCCCCCAGCCTTGTGCTCTGCATTCCCCTGTGTTGCACCACTTAGCTTACATGTCTCCTCTATGTGGAAGACATTCCCTGACATTCTCTGCCCTTTCCAGGTCAGAGTCCCACAGCTGATTTAGAGGTACTTAAAACAGTCAAACTCGCAGAAACAAAGGAACAAGTGGTGCTGGGGATAAAGGGAAACGGGAGCTACCCTTCAACAGGGAGGAGGCTTAAGTTACAAAAGAAGGGCATGTTCCAGAGATGACAGTACAGCTTTCTGTCTGTAGATTATAATGCTGTGCGATTTTACACTTAGAAATCTGCTGTTTCTTAAAAAATAAAAAGAACCTGAGGGGAAGGCACTTGGCCCAGTGTTTCAGATGCCTGCATCCTACCCGGGCTTGGCACTCAGCTCGGGCTCCTGCCTCCAGCTGCTTGCTAATGTGGACCCTGGGAAACATCAGGTGCTGTCCCTAGTGCTTGGGTCCTTGCCATCCATGGGGGAGAGCTGACTTGGGTGCCTTGCTTCACCCTGGCCCAACAGTGGCTGCTCTGGGCATTTGGACAATGAGGCTGAGACAAGAACCCAATCTCTCTCTCTCTTACTGTATATATGTATCTCTATCTTTTTCATGTCTCTACCTCACCTCTACCTTTATTTTTTTTTCTCCAATTAAAAAAAGTCTGTTAAGAGGTGAATCTTGTGGCACATGTTCTTCTCACAATAAAATACAACTACAAATTTAAACAGAGACTATAGTGAGGTGAATGAAGGCCCTTGTAAAAGTGGACAGAGCTTTGATTCCTGGCTGTGCCAGTCGACACTTGAAGGCACTCCCTCCCCCCTTGCCCCAGGAACTATACTCTATAGACTATATTTTCCCCAATACCAGCTGACAGTTGAAGGACATTGCAAGGATGGAAATGGAAAAGGAAACACTTCTTCTTGAAATGATCAATCAATGGGCACAGTTCTGCAGGGGTTCAGTGTCAGTTCTTTGTTACTACATTGGTGAAGGCTTCCATATTGTGAGTTGGTCTTCTCATCACCAAGAAGAGGTTGGTTCAAGTTCTAGCCCCGGGTGGCTGTGCTGGCAATCTTATTTGGAAATATATAGGGTATTTTCAGAGGTATTTTGTTAAAATGAGGTTCCATCCTAATCTAAAAGACATCCCAATAAAAAGACAAAATAAGGACAGACATGCAGGGAAGATGATCCTATGAAGATAAAAGTAGAGATTGGAGTGAGGCTGCCACAAACCAGGGAATGCCAAGGACTGTTGGTAATACCAGGAGCTAGCGGAGAGGCATGGGGCAGCTTCAGAGGTTCTAGAAGGAACAGAACATGCTGATGCCTTTATTTCAGACTTGTCACCTCCAGAACTGTGAGATGGTAAATTTCAGTGATTTTAAGCCATCCAGCATGTGGTGATTTATTTCAACAGCAGGCAGACACTAAAGCAGCTCAAGGCTTTGTCCTACTGGGAGCAGGTGTTGGATTTCAGCAGAGATCGATTTCTGCATTAGATAGGAACATGTAAGTGAGCTGTAGGAAAGCCAGGAAGGAGTTCCAGGTCAGGCAAGGTCAGATGTTAAACTAAACACGTAGGATACGTCCTACAGAGATTGCCTTACACAAAGAGGGAAGAAATGTGCTTCAAAAAGCTGCTTGCTCCAACTCTTACTGCATCTGTCTCACAGCAGGAAACTCTGAGAATGTGGAATAAGTCCTGAGAAAGCCACTGGGTAGTTAGGAAACTTGAAAATTTGATGAAATGCAACAGTTTCTAGAACACAGAAGATCAAAGTCAGTGTGTGCCTTCATATTATGGAACCTTCAGTTATCAGAGACCATCTCTCCTCAAAAAAGAAAGCCATCACAAGTAATAAAAAACAATCACTCATTTTATAAGGTTAGTGGTATATTACCCTTAAAACCAAATAAGGGCAAAACAAGAAGATAGTAGCAGTTAACTGGATCCATTTTGTTTAAATTCTGGGTCTTGATCCAGTGCGAGTCTTGCAGGAACATAATGGTTTGTATTCAATTAATTAATAATTAAGACACTAACAGAAAAGATAGCAACAAAAAAGAAACAACCCCAGTAAAGAAATAGTCAAAGCACCTGAGTAGGCATTCCATGAAAAAAAAAAAAGACAACA